GGAGGGCCATGAATACCTTTTAATGGGCCCTGCTTTTCTCTCAGGCTGTGAGGGAGAACAGCTCTGTTAGCCCGCAAAAGCCTCGCTCTCCTATCTGGTCCCCAGAACTCTGGAGCTAAAAAAGCAGTTGTTCCTCCCTATCATGCAACCTACTGTGTCCTCCCTGGCGGTGGGCCCAGACAGGAGACGGGCTGCTGAAGGCCCCAGAGCTGTAGTGCATGGGAGGCCGTCACCCTGCAGGCCACGAGGCCGCTGCTGCACCCTGCCCATACATTCTTTCTCCTCCTCCCTGGGACTTTAGCTGGCCTTGGCAGGTCTGGACCTACTTGGGACTAACTGCCGGTTGCCTGGAAATGCATCCCAAGAACAAATGGTTCGCACTTCACCTTTTGTAAGACACTGACCAATTAATTCATTCTCCAGAAAGCCCTTTAACCCCTCAGGGGACAGAGCAGTGATCCCAGTTTAGATGCATGTTATTTGTGCCGGCCAAGAGGGGTCACCTTTGCTGTTCTCTCTCTACCCCTCTCCGTGTTTTTCAGGATGGCAGAAATGGGCTAGTGTAACCTCTGGGGAAGGAACTCCCACCTGGGAGTCAGGGGCCTAGAATCTCCCTGTGACCTTCCCAAGACCCTTCCCCTCTCTGAGTCCCCATCCCCAAGCAGATAATCCAACTAGATCTGTGTGTTCCCAAACCACAGTACAAATCCCTGTCAGTGATACACAGCAAATGCTTTGATGTTTAATAACTGTGTTTAAATCATTTCTGTATATTTTGTATTCCATAGGAAAAAGAGCACAGCAAAGTCATAAATTTGTGGAAGTTGCTTGACCCAAGTTTTAACTTGTAAGCATAGGGCTATCAAGTAAAACACTCAGGGGGGTGGAGGGGAGAGAAGTAAAGTAAAACACTTAGATGAGTAGAACGTACATATGGCATAGTTTTCAGAAGTGACTAGGACTTGGGTGAGTAAGTGGGTAAGGGTCCCTTGGAGGAGCAGCCCAAGTCGGCCTTTATGGCTTCAGCCTTGTTTTTGTAGAGCTTTGTTTTTATAGCATCCTGCTGGTGACCTGTGGAGGTGGCCTTCAAGTATGAGTCAGTGGTCTGGAACCTTCCCTAGGCTCTGCTTTACAATCCGGTTTCTTGGGGTGGGTTGTATTGAAAGACAAGTAGTTTGGATGGTGGATGATGCTGTAATGATTGTAGATTAATCACATTTTTATTACTGTAAAACTTAACTTGGTCATCACTTATCTTTAAAAAAAAAAAAAGGCCAACAAGTGACCCTGTGGCCCTAGAGGGGGCCAAACTATCCATGGGGGAGGAGCCTGCAGGTTAATGGAGCTGCTGGGGGCCTATGGGGGCCCAAGACCAGGGAGCCCAAGTAATTCAAGTCACCTCACCAGATAGAAGAGCTGCATGGAACCCCGCACTCTGCAGCTCTGCTCTAACCAGTAACCTTGACATCTGGGCAGCAAGAGGACAGACACCCTGTTTGTTTCTTTTTTGCTACTTGTGCAAATCATTTTTATTCCCAAGGGGGAGCCTTCCTCCTCAGACCCCCAGACAGGGGCTCCCCAGGGCAGGGCGTGGCCTGGTGCTCTGGCCTGCCAGGACAGGTCAGACAGGTCTGGCTGGTGCTGATGGATGAGGCTCTGCCGCTTCCGTGCTCGGTCCAAAGGTGCCCAGCCCCGCACCAGGCCTCCACCTGCCACATCCAGCTGCCCCCACCTAGGGGGTTGACTAGCTCAGGCCTCAGCTCAGTGAGTGGGGGAGTGTGTTTGCCCTCACCAGTCCCTAGCAGCCGGCCCTGTCTCAAAAAACTACCAACTGATGCTCGCCATCTCCACCCAGCTGGCCGCTGAAAGATGAAGTGTTTTCCTCCAAAATAAAAACTGCTCCATCTGCACCGCTGTCTTCTAATCTCCCAGTTAACTGGCCCACCTGGAAGGTGAGCCAGTGTGTGGTGACCCCCACACAGCTTGTGTTTCAATACCCTGCAGGGCCTGTCTCCCCTCCCCTATTGTCTTCTGAGGGGTATAACCATGCTCCCAGTCCCACAAACACAGACCACACTATTAAAAATATAGCCTCTTTATTGGTACCTGTAAGCTCAGGTACAAGGTGTTCCCACAAGCACACAGGCTGGGAAGGCCTCCTGGGATATGAGGCAAGCCCAGAGCCTGGGCTTCTTGGCACAGACACAGAGAAAAAAAATGAATAAATTATAGTTCTTCTAGCACTCAGGAACAATATAGAAATTATGATACAAAATTCAGCTTCTGCAAATGAAGGGCTTAAAAGCCATAGGAATTACCCCTCGCTCCACGCCAAAGGGCCTTAAGATCTGGGCAGGTGGCCCGGGCTGGAGTGCAGTGCCCAGAAAGCCCTGAGATAGTATCAGGGGCATGCTACGGACCCTGAGCAAGCCCCTTGCCCTCTCTGGGCCTCCTGTTTCCCCCTCCTACACTGATGGACATAAAATAAAGGTTTTGACCTTTTGGGGATGGGGCAGAGGACAGGAAGTAGAGGGGCTGCTTGGGGCAGAAGACAATTTTGGTCACAGAGGGACAGCCCAGCCCCTCTCCCCTGCCCAGCCACCTAGATTTGGGCAGCAGACACAGTGGGCCTTGGGGCTGAATCCACACCTGCTTCACACCGAAGTCCTGGCAAGGCAGAGCTGCAGGACTAGAAGGCCAATGTGACGGGAGGGTCATGCACCGCCCTGACCCCAGCACTGCCCACCAGCTGGAGGGGAGAAACCTAAGCTGCTTCGTCTCCAATAAATTATGGAAATAAATTAGTTTTCACAGTCCAGAGGATTCAGCCACCCATGGGTCTATGGCTCAGGGTGGCAGGAAAAGCCATAAAAAGTGACTGATTTCACCCCGGCTCACCATCTTGGGCCAGGAACATCACACAAGACTGACTGAATGAAAGAAGTCTGCAAATCTCCAGAGGAGCCACCTTCCCCCATTACTGGCAGGTGCCAGCCATGGAAGTAGAAAAGACTGCGGGCATGGGGTTAGGAGGAGGCATGTAAAGGGGAAGCCCCTTCCCCACCCTCTCTTTAGCACAGAATGTTACAAAAATAAATAAAATCATTCCAAAGTGTTGCATGAAAACCCGGAGTGCCCACACCGGTGAGCCAGCCAACGGGAGCTATTACATATAGACCTCAGGGAGCCCCCAAATGACAACAAAGCAGCAACAGGGCTCCTGGGGCCAGGAAAAGGCACCCCAGTCCTCACACAGGTACAGCTTCTACCAGAGATGCTGGGGCAGTGTCCTCAAACAACTGGCTGTCCACAAAGGGAGTCAGAACCTCAGCAGTGGCCGGCTCAGATAGGCCTACAACAGATTCCAGGAAGCAAGTACTGGTGTCCCCAGGTGGAGAGAAGGCAGGCAAGGGAAAGTGGAGTGCCTCAAAATTGTCCAGACCGTCAGACACCTTCCGGGAGGTGTAGTGAGGCCCCAGACTGTAGTCTGGCAGGGCCTGGAACAGCTCAAAGGAGTCACAGGAAGACAAGCTGAGGTCCACTGAACTGCTCTGGCCAGCATCCGTGCTCAGTGGCACTGAGATGCCAGGGAGGTTGCCTTCTAACCCTTCAAAGCCACTATTTAGGAAGCAGCTGGCATCCAGGTTGGCATTTTCATCCAGGACGCCTGATGTGAGGCTATAGCTGGAATAGCTGTGGTTCCAGCTAGCCAGGCCATTAGGGTCGCCAGTACCAAAGATGTCAGCTGGGTGGAAACAGCTGAGGATGTCGAGGCTCCCCAAGCCCCTCTCCTCCTCCTCCTCCTCCTCCTCCCCGCCCAGGTCAGAGTCACTGAAACTCAGGATCCGTGCCAGACTGTCGTCATCCATGCTGGGCTGGAAGCCAGGGTCGGGCAGGACTGGGTGTGCAGGACTGTCTGGGGCCTCACTAGTGCCTGATGCTGTGGAAGAGTCGGTCATGTCGCTGCTACTGCTGTTGTCTCCCAGCTCACTGCTCACAGATGGCTTGGCCAATGAGAAAGGAGGGGCCGTGACCTGAGCCCCAGGGCTGGGCGGCCCATCCTGGATGGGGGCCTCCAGCTCCCCACAGCTCTCTGCCCCCTGTTCCCGCTGCAGGCGGGTGAGCGTGTGGAAGAGATGGGTCTGAACGCGTGTCTGATTAAACTCCACACGGCCCTTGGGGTTCTCACAGCCCTCCCTGCAGCACCCACAGGGGAATGCTGTGTGATCCATCTGCAAAGAAAGAAGAGGCATGAGTAAGGATCGTGCAGAGCCCAGAGAAGGCTTAGGGTTCAGGTTTCCCTTCCTAGCTGGGTGCAGCACAGTACCTGGCACTTGATGCCTGCCAGGCTGCAGCTGCAGGTCTCAGGGTCGCAGACTCGGTCACAGCGACAGCCACAATCTTCCCGGGACTGGCGCAGAGCCTGCAGTTCCCGCTTCTCCTCTCGGTCGATCCTCCGCACACCCGCAGCCCGCAGAAGGGCCCGCCTCTGCCGTGCGGGGTAGGGCTGTAGGAAGGTCATCTCCTCCAACCGACCGCGGTTCACAGCCATAGCCAAGTCTTCCTCCACAGAGGCATCATCAATCGCATCCACTGTAAGTGGCTGCCTGGCCTCTGTCTCTGGTACGCTGGTCTCTGCGAGCTACATACACAGGAGAGAGAATGGATGTGAGCGGCACCTTCACAGCCACCAGTCCCTTGATAAACATGCTTCCTCTAGGCTGGGGGCATTGTGAAACAGCCAGGAACATGGTCCTTGGGGCTCTTTCCTTTTAACTATTTATGCATACAAAAACTGGGGTACAGGCCAGAGTTGCAGGGAGTGAGATGATTCACCAGGAACAGAGTGGGGAGCAGAACAGGAAGAATGACAAAGTACACTGCTGAGGGGAGCAGCGGGTGAGACTGGAGAGGTCTGCCGTGCCATGTGAGTCAACCTCCCTGGCTGGGGATTGAACTGATGCTGCAGTGGCTGTGAGAGCTTCGAAGTACTGCACTTTTAACCCCCTGCACCACTAGGGAGGCCCCCTCAGGGCATTTTGAAGGAGATTTCCTATCCCTGTCATTCCCCAGTTCTTACACAAACTCTGTCCAGCAGGCAGACAGCTACAAGGACCCTAATATCACATCAACTCCATGTTTCTCCTCCCCAGTGAAGTCAGATTCTGGAACTGTGGCCCTAGGACTATAGCAAACATGAGCTCTTTCATGGCCCACTCAGCAGATGACCCAGGCAACAGACCGTGATTAAGCCATCACTGGCCCATGGTTCTCTTTCCCCAAAATCATAACAGCAGCTGCCTTACTGCCCTCAAGGCTAGGAACTTCAGAAGCTTCCTGAACTTGTGGACCATGGAGAGGGTCTCCTACCTTCCACTGAAGCATCTCCAGCTTCTCCTCCTTCAAGCGTAGACGGAGCTTCTCCTGCCGTGCCTGCAACTGCTCCTCTGTAAACTCGTCCAAGGAGAAGTGGCGGCAGGCACTGTGGCGAGAGGCCATCCCCAGAGTGCAGCCACCACGGCTGGGCACGCTGGTAAAGCCTTGGCACCGAGGAAAGTAGAAGACGGTGATGCCATCAAAAGCTACTCGGCCTGGGCGCTTCCGGGGAGCCCGTTTCAGGATGGATGGTGCTGGAAGGCAGACGGGAAGGCATTAATTAGTTCTCTGTGAGGTACAGAAAAACCTACAGGAAGATGATGCTGAACTGTGTCTCTTCACAGTTCCCTGCTCTTCCACCCTGAAGAAAAAAATGAACTGGGTCAGCTGCCATTGGAGCTGGTGAAATTGAATACCACACCTATGTTAGCATTGGCTTGTTATTTATTTACCAGTACAAATGATCACTTGCAAGATTAAATATCTCACCTTTTATTAGCCATTTACAGTTCCTTTGTACATTTTTTAAAAATTGATTTGTAGGTATTCTTTACATTAAGAGAGACAATCATCTCACCTATCTATGGAAATATTGAAGCCTTTTTTGATTCATGGCATTTTATGAACTAATTTCTAAGGTTTATGTAATCAAAATAAATTGATCTTTTCCTTTATAGTTTTTGCATTTTGCAACAGGCTTAGAAGGGCTTTCCCTTTAAAGCCCATTGATTGTGTATTGATTAACTAGCTAGTTAAGAGTATATTTGAAATATATTAGTATATTATTGCTTTTTAGTAGGTTGAATACAAGAATCAACTGCAATATAGTCAAATGTTAATTTTACACATTTCAACTTAGTATATTAATTTAGTACCCAGCTACCCACAGAAATTCCCTTCTAAAAGGCTTTCTGTTTATATTCTTGAGTTCACTGGATAGTCAGCCATCTCTAAGTAATGGTAACTTGTGCCTGTCCCAATTCACATACTTAATTTTCATTCTCTTTGCTAACTCGATTGGCTAGCACTTCCTGTACAACGTTAACTAGTAGTGGTGACATACAGCATCTTCACCTTGTTCATGACAGTGGACTACTTCCAGTGTTTCCTCATTGATCACAATGCCAGCTATTTCTGTTGAGACAATTTTTTTTTATTATTCAAGGTAGAGTTCACTTATTCCTCTCTTACCAAGCATCTGATCTTAGAAGAGCATTGTATTTTATCAAATATTCTTCCAGCACCTGCAGTGGCTCTTATTTTTCTTCTGATATAGTCATTTGGTAAATTGTAAAACTGAACTTTATAATATTAAACCATCCCTGCAGTTGCAGAATAAACCCATGCTAGATTAGTCATAAACTAAACATAATGTACATTAAATATTTTGGATGTATAATGCACAGATAGGCATGCAATACATAAACTGGGAGAATCATTATCTGTGGTTATTAAAACATCACAGGGGGAGGGAGATTTTGTAAAAAATGTCTAAGAAGGCTCTTTGGGGATAAGGAGCCATAATAGGAGCTCAGAAGCCCTGCTCTAGGGCTACCTTTGTCAGTCTGGAAGCAGAATTACCAAGTTTGAAAGAAAAATGGGGGGGAGAGGCGGGACTTTTCCACTATGTTCAGACACAGCCAAACAGCATCTGGACAGGAGAGGCAGCAGCCTGACAAGCCTCAGCGAACAAGTGTGGGCCCCGAGGCTCTAGGAGTTCAACTGGCAAGGTGCAAGCTGGAGGAGCAAACTAGACAGAAGGGAGTGAGTGGGCCAGGAGGAAGGCGCTCCACTCTGGGGAGCCCTATCCTGAACACATGACTTCTAAGAGAGGAGTCCCAGGGCCGATGGTACGTCCAGTCCTGTCAACACGAGTGCCTCAGGGCAGGGGCTACATTATTTTGGAAAGTGGACAAGGGGAAGCCAAGTAGGGAACTAAAGCTGTAGAGATATGGGCTCCAGGGGTCCCCTTGTCAGTGGCCTCCCAATTTCATCTTCAGGAAGGAAGGAATGGGGGTTAGAGGCTCATATCCCCAGGGGGAGGAATACTCACGGGTGAAGGTCTGGGGACCACAGAACTCCCGGTGAGGCAGGGGTGGCTGATCCCAGGGACCCTCCTCATCGAAGTCCCAGTCTGGGGAGACTGAAGAACTTGGGGAGCAGGAGTTAGAGTGGTGGCCAGAGGAAGACAAGGAGGAGGATGAGGAGAGCGAGGAAGAGTCATCATCCAGCTGGTCAAACTTCCTCTTCAGCATTCCAGTCATGGTGCTGTAGGGGGACTCTGGGGTCTACGCAGATAGCCTGGAACGGGAAGGAGAAAGCTCTAAGTGGCCAGCCTGAGGCCAGGAGGTGGGCTCTCCGTCTGGTCATCTCTCCCAGTCTCCCTCCTCCCCAGCCCGGTGGAGCACCCTGTGCAGGAGGGCTCAAGCAAGGAGGCTTCTTGTATAGGACACAGCTAGGAGGACAAGTCCCTCATCCCAGTGCTTGCGGACTCCCACAACGCCTTCCTGGACACTGCCAGGCACCGTCCCCCCTACCTCCTACAACCCATCCCCACACACGCAGCAGCCCAACAGATGGACTGACAGACCTCCCTGGCCTATCATTCCCCGACAGGAATCCTGGGGGCTGACTCACTGGCGGGGTGATTCACACGGCTCGCATCTGTGTGCCTTTGTGTGTGAGGCCGTCTGCACAGGCTCTGCTTCCTCGTCGTCGCCCTCCTTCCCCCACACCCACAGACAGGCCACCCTACACACACCGTGTGGGCCCTCGCCATGGGCCAGGCTGACCAGGCACTCTGGGGAACAGGCTCTGACACTGGCCCCCTTCCCAGACACAGGACTTTCCTGAGCCCCTCCTCTCCCAGTGGAGTTGCTCAAAACTTTCCCTCAGAAACCCCCGCCTGCAGAAGTCCCCTGCCTGCAGGCCTGACTATGGGACAGGAGCCAGGAGACCTAGCTCTGCATCTCTTTAACATCCCCTGTTTAATCTTAAAAACCCACCTACATCTTGCTTTTACTCCAATATTTTACCCTGTTTGTCTGACTTAACTTCCTATATAAATTGTTTTTCCCCTTTTAAAAAGTAAATCAATAAAATCTTTTAGTGAAAGTGACTGACCAAGAAGATATCCTACTCTCTCTCTGCTGTAAGTTGGAGCACCCCAGGACACCTGGCTGTCCCTCCCCCTTGAGGGTCTCAGTGCTCTGCAACAGTGAGACCAGAGACTTCTCTCAGCCTGGAGGGCCTCTTCTAAGGGAAAGGGACTTTGGGAATCCTTCCCCTAAATGCCTCCGTGGTAACAGCCCTTTCCACTGCTTGGGAATCCCCAAGGACTCAGACCTAAGGGCTGAGCTCAGCTACCTTGTCTCTGCTGTACGTCCTGTGGCAGTCCGGCTGGGCCCCAGAAGGTCACCAGGAAGAAGGGGAAACGATGAAGAGGCCCCAGTGCTGGGAACCCCTCCCCCACTGCCATCACAGGAAATGAGAGAGAACAGGAAAAAACCAACCAGAAGGCTGTCAATCTCCTCTACTCAAGGTGTCCTTTCGAGAAGACACCTCATCTCCCTGCGACCCCTCTTTTCACCAAGCCGCCCTGGAAATACCTTGGCCCTGGAGCATGACACGTCAACCTGCTAACTCCATGAAAGTCATCCAAAACCAGCCTCTCCTCCCAAGCAGCCCCAAGAGAAGCTACTTGTCAGCTCCCTTGTCAGTCCTCCACCGGCCGGGGAAGAGGAGGCACAGGTGTTTCCGGGGGCTTCTCAGCGGGTGGTTTCTCTGGCTTGGCACTGCCCCCCCTTCCCAGGGTCAAACCACAAGTAAAAACAACCCGGTTCCCAGCTGACCTGCAGGATCTCCCTGGAGATGAGAGCGCTCAAGACCCAGAGCCAGGCAGACACACACAATCCTGCAGAGCAGACACTCAGACACACAGGCACAAACCACACCCACCCATCTTGTCTCCATCAAGTCCAGCTGGGAGACCCCCATCCTTTCCTGAATTCGAGATGTGCCTACAGGGAGCTGAATGCCTCCCTAATTACACATCCAAGCCTTTGGTTTTGAGACCACCCCAAAACCAAATTGGAGTTCTGCCTGGCTGTCCCTTAGAAACAAAATTCTGCAGGCCCCAAATGGAACCTCTGTCTCTGCCCCCCACCCCCACCCGTGCCATCTGTTCCTCTTCCTGTGTTCCCTATCTTAGTAACAGCACTGCCACCCACCCAGTTATTCAAGCCAGAAACCTGCAGTCATCCTCAACTTCTTCCTCCCCCTCTCCATCCACTCAGTCACCCAGCCCTGGAGTACACACTGACTTGCTTATCCACAGAGGCCAGGGACAGATTCAGTGGTGCACAAAGGCCCCCACTGCATCATGTTAAGAGCATCCACTTTAGAACAAGACTGTTGAAACCAAACCTTGCTTCGATACTAATTGGCTGGTGACCCTGGGTAAGTTCCTTAACCTCTCTGTAGCTCCAATTCTTAGTCTTAAAAGCTTGCGGGGTGGGTAGGTATACAGTAATCAGTGCATGCCAAGTTCTTAGGACGTGTTAAGTGCTTTGTGAATGAGCTCCTGGAGGCACACGACACAGATCAATCTGACAGCATGCTGAATGGAAGAAGCCAGACCCAACACTACACGTGAATGAAATTAAGACAAGGCAAGTCCAGTGAAGACACAAGTCAGAATAGGGTTGGGGAGCAGGCACTGGGGACAGTCATGAGGAATCTTGGGGGAGGAAGGGGTGAAATGTGCTCTTGATTTGCATGATGGTTATGGGTGTCTAAAAGTACAAAACACATCTACTCAACAGCTGCACATATACAATTCATACACTTGCTGTATTTTATGTATGTGTCCTTCAATTTTATTATCCTTATGTCTCTGTCCCCACTTCTACTACCCACATCCCCTCTCTCTGCTCCCCACAGCCATTCTTTAGGCAGAATGACCTTATTAAATAAACCAAGTATCTACCTGTTACCCCCATTCTAACACTCACTCTGCAGCTCCCCTTAGGGGAGCCTACCTTTATGGTCAAGTCCAGAATTCCACTAGAAGCAGGCCTGGCTGTTGCCTCCCCTCCAAACTCATCATCTAAGACTCCTCAGACCCCTCTGAACCTGCAACACCTGCTGAATGTGCAATTCACCTGATGGCCATGACCTGTTCACCTCCAACTTGGACAAGCTGGAACCCAGTCTCACCTCCCTTTTAGAAGTCCTCAGGGCCTGCCTGAACAACCTCTACTCCTCACTCACTGACCGGGCTCTCATCAGCATTAGGATTCCATCACAGTTCTGGATCCTACAATCCTCCAATTTGTACCAGCCTGGGTGCTCATCTCTCAAGAATGAGGCTGGCCTCTCCCTGTCAGTTAAAAGGGGATGGGGAGGAGAGGGAAAGACCCATGCCCATCCTCCTCTCTGCCAGGAGGTCTGAGTTAGAATGGTATCCAGAATGTGAGAGGCTGCCCATGTGGGCATCTCAGGAGGCTCCCTGTTTCCCAAGAACCAACTAATGTGTCAAGAAGCAAGTTCAAGGCTTACATGATTCCCTCCCTGATTTTCTTTTGGGGTGAGAGGAAGAATAAAAGTCCCTGGATCTCATACTCCACTATCCCACCTGGGAATCAAGAGGCTGAATGAGAAAAAGGCAGATGAGACAAAAAGACTTAGAGACAAGGAGAGGCCAAGTCAGAAAAGGGAATGAAAGATAGTGAAGGAGTCCAAGAAAAGTGTCAGACAGTGAGTCAGAGGGTGGGGGAGGGGCCCTCAGTAGCTACCCAGGAATCAAGATCCTGGCCATGGCACTGTTCCCAGGGTGAGCACAGCCCCCTCCTAGGGTCCTGGAGGAAGGAAAAGCAATTCCCAGGAGCTGGCTCAGACAGAAATACCACACCCCCAAGGAGCCTGGAGACAGGCCCTGAATCAAAGAGAACCACATTTCTTCCGGGATTTGCCTGGGCCCTGAGAATCAGGCTGTCCTCCTGCCACCACACACAGGAGCTGACAGTCCAGGACAAGAGGATCCCGGCTCCACTCTACTCGCCACAACTATCTGCACACTCAGACCACTGTATGTGAATCCAGCAAAGGTCACTTCACCCTGAACACACCAGGCAAACAAAGGCTTTGGGGTGGGGGTGGGGAGGCAAACGAAGGGGGAGGTTCTCTGACAAGTTCACCAACTCCTCTGCAAACCTCAGCAATCCCAATGCCCTAACCCCTGGGCAGAGCTGGTATTGGGGTGGGGGTACCTGCAGGGGCCTCCAACCTCCTCCAGGAATTTGAAGAATGTGTCCTTTAACCTAAGAGCCCCAGGCCCTGCTTGGCCAAACCGAGGTCAGCTCCCCCCAACACCTGGGGTCACATGAACCCAGGCTCTCAGGAGCTACTACTTCCTGGAAAGGGGTGGACACCTCTGAGCCCCGCTAGTGGGATGGGCTGGAAAAATGGCCCCGCCAGCCTAGAGAGGGCAGACAGGAAGCCTTGGCTCACACCCCTCCCCCACCCACCCTTCTGAAAGTGATCCTGGGGGAGGGGACAGTTCCTCAGCCCTGGGCCTCCAGGGCCTGGCACTGGGTAGGTGCCAAAAGTTTGCCAGTACATGAAGCAACTGCTCCTGCAGAAGGGAAATTGCACCTGGCAGTGACTGCTCCTTCCTCCTAGGAGGCTTCCTTCACTCTCGTTCCTTCCTTCCTTCATTCATTCAGCAAATATTTACTGAGGTCCCACAGCACATCAAGCACTGTGTCAGGTACTTGGCCACGCAGGGAACCTGACGTGCATGAGTGCTGTCCCCTTGCTGCTGCCTGATCGGCGGGGAGGAGACGAGAGTTAAGAGGGCTGAAGAACACAGAGCTGGAAGAGGGGCAAGAGGGTGCACCGCTGGGGGGGCGAGGGGCAGTCCCTCGGAGGAAGGGGTGGGTGAAGAGTTGGGGAGGAGCACAGCAAGGGTAAGGGACTAGGAGAGAGAGAGCCACCGAAGTGAGAGGGAGGGGCAGGCTGAGGGGGGCAGCAGGAGTGCCCGCCCCTCACCGGGATTTAGCCTGAGGCCACGGGAAGCCGCTGAAGGGTGTTCGCAGGGAGGGACAGTGCCAGATTTGCATTTTTAAAAGATGGCTCAGCACTAGGAGCAGGAGGGGGTGTGACCCGCTGGACCAGGCAGTCGGAGTTCAGGAGAGGACTGACAGGGGCACAGGAGAAAGGCGGATGGACTTGGTGACCTCTGGACGCGGAGGAGGAAGAGGGCGATGATGTCAAGGATCTGGGGGAGAGCCGGAGCCCCGCTCCCCGAGGGCTGTGAGGCATCAGAGTGGAGGTGTAGGGTGGGCCGCGGGGCCGGGGAGGGACCCTCTGTGTCAGGAGTGTGGGCTCTGGCTGCGTGTGATGGTGCCAGGAAACTGGAATGACTAAGAGTGTGACGGCTACTGTGGTGTGGGCATCTCAGTGCTTGCGGTGGAGGGGACCCCGGGGAGGGGAAACTGAGGCCCGGAGGAAGTACGTGCCGGGGAGGGGGGAAGTGCGTGGGAGCGAGCCTACGCGCGCCCGCGGGTGGTCCGGAGCCGGCCGTGACTCACAGCGGCGGCCTCTGCGTGTGAGTGTGACTGACAAACAGGTGAGCGCACGACACAATCCTCCCTCCTCCCTCGCTCCCGGGGTCCGTGACTCACGGAGCCTCGCTCATCCCTCCCTCCCTGACCCCCGCACGCCGGGGGCGCCCGGCACGCGCCGCAGCCCGGGTGCCCGCCTCGGGGGGAGCCGGAGGGGAAGACGGCGCGGGTCACCTGCCCGGCCACGCGAGGAACTTCTGAAAAGTTCTCCGGCAACTGGGTCAAAAGGAAACTCGCCCGCCGAGGCGCGCGCCCCCGTCACCCCGACACCAGCGCGCAGCACCGGCTCCGCGGTCAGGCGCTGCGAGCTCGGGGCGCTGTCACTTCTGGGGGTACCCTCGGCGGGGCGGGGGAGGGGAGCGGAAGACCTGAGACTCTCTCCCCGCCGCCCAAGAGTCCGGCGGCGGCGCGCGCACCGGAGCCAGGCTGGGACGTCCCCGAGCCGGCGCCCGCTCGG